CCGAGATCCCCATCCGAGATCAGGAGTTTTCTGGGTCTGGCGGGTTACTATCGGAGGTCTATCATAGATTTCTCCAAGATTGTCTTTCCTCTCACCAGATTGTCCAAGAAGGGTGTTACATTTGTCTGGGGGCCCGAGCAGCAGGCTTCATGTGAGACTCTTCGCCAGAGATTGTGTGAAGTTCGAGTATTAGCCCTTCCGGAGGGAGTGGAGGACTTCGTAGTCTACTGTGATGCATCTATATCGGGGATGGGTGTTGTGTTGATGCAGAGGGGACACATGATAGCATATGCGTCGAGGCAGCTGAAGCCTCACGAGACGAGGTATCCCACCCATGATTTGGATTTGGGGGCGGTGGTATTCGCCCTCAAGATTTGGCGGCACTATCTTTATGGTGTCTGATGTACCATATACACGGACCATAAGAGCCTGAAGTACCTTATGGATCAGCCCAACTTGAATATGAGACATAGGAGGTGGTTGGATGTAGTGAAAGACTATGACTGTGATATTTTGTATCACCCTGGCAAGGCTAATGTGGTAGCCGATGCCATGAGTCGTAGAGCAGCGGGTGCTCCGATCCGAGACATGTGCATGAGGATGACGGTGATGACTCCAGTCTTAGATACCATCCAAGAGGCCCAAGTGGTGGCCATGAGACCAGAGAACCGTAGGATAGAACAGGTGATCGGGCATATTTCTGAGTTTGAGACTGATGGTCGGGGGCTTATGACCTTCCGTGGGTGGATATGGGTGCCATATACGGGTGGAGCTCGACGTATTTTGATGGAGGAGGCCCATAGGTCGAGATTCTCAATCCATACGGGGGCCACCAAGATGTATTTGGACTTGAAAAGGGATTATTGGTGGCCCTGTATGAAGAGAGATGTGGCATGGGTAGTCGAGAGATGCTTGACCTATCGTCAGGTCAAGGCAGAGCACCAGCGTCCCCATGGCCAGTTGCAGCCTTTGGAGATTCCCCTGTGGAAGTGGGAACAGATCTCCATGGACTTTATTACCAAGTTACCGAGGACTGCGCGAGGTGTCGATGCGATATGGGTGATTGTAGATCGGTTGACGAAGAGCACTCACTTCCTGGCTATAAGTGAGAGCTCTTCTGCGGAGAAATTAGCCGAGATCTATGTTTGAGAGGTGGTAGCATGACATGGGATGCCTACATCGATAGGTTTCAGAGGTGGTTCGGGATGTGCATTTTACTTCCAGGTTCTGGAAGAAATTTCATGAGGAGTTGGGTACCCGATTGCATTTCAGCACCGCTTACCACCCACAGACAGAAGGGCAGAGCGAGCGGATGATTCAGACGCTCGAGGACATGCTACGCGCATGTGTTATGGACTTCAGTGGAAGTTAAGACACTTACATGCCCTTGGCTGAGTTCTCATACAGCAACAGCCATCACTCCAGTATCGGTATGCCTCCCTTTGAGCTTTTATACGGGAGGAGGTGTCGGACTCCCATCTGTTGGGGAGAGGTAGGGCAGAGAATGATGGGGAGCACTGAGATAGTGCTTAAGACGACATAGCAGATCCAGTAGGTCAGACAGAGGTTACTGACGGCCCAGAGTCGTCAGAAGAGTTATGCGGACCGGAGACGATCCGAGCTAGAGTTCTAGGTCGGAGATTTTGTCCTCCTGAAGGTATCCCCATGGAAAGGGGTGATCAGATTTAGGAAGCGGGGCAAGTTGGGCCCTAGATACATCGGTCCTTTCAGAGTGATCATTCGAGTGGGTAAGGTAGCTTATCGGCTAGAGCTGCCTGCAGAGTTGAGCCAGATTCATAACACCTTCCATGTGTTCCAGCTAAGGAAGTTTGTAGCCTACGAGACGGCAGTGGTCCCTTTAGATTACATTCAGGCTGATGATCGCCTGAACTACATTGAGAAGCCGGTGACAATTTTGGATAAGAAGGTGAAGGTCTTGAGGAATAAAGAGGTGCCCTTGGTTCAGCTTCAGTGGCAGCATCGGAAGGGATCCGAGTGGACTTGGGAGCCGGAGTCCGAGATGCGTGAGCAGTACCCAGAGTTGTTTCCAGATGGTGACTTCGAGGGCGAATTCTGATTCTAGTGGGGGAGAATTCTAACATCCCGACTCCCAGGTATAATATTTAATTAATTATATTCATTTTTGTCAGGGAACTCGATGAGTTGGAGGCCCCAACTCGCCGAGTAGAGATGGAGATAGCCATTTGATTTTTAGAGTCTACTCGACGAGTTGGAGGACCCCAACTTGACGAGTAGGAGCTGTGTGTGAAAACCCTAATTTTCAGGGTTTGTACCCTATTTAAAGAACCTTAAGCCCTTCATTCTGCCTCCCTAATCACTTTACCACCCTAAGAGAAACCCTAAACGAGCTGGTATCATCTGTGAGAGAGAGATAGGCTAAAAGTGTGTTATTTAGTGCATTCTTTGAAGAAGTTAGAGGAGAAAAAGGCTTGGAACTAGAAGGGATCCAGTACTATTTCAGTGTTAGCGGCCATTTGGAGGTAAAAAGTTCTCATCTTGACCATTTTTTTGTTAGATCTCTTCATTAGGGAGTTTATGGCCATTTCTATCTTCTCTATGAGTCTCTTAGTTGTTTGAGCATGTCTTGAAGATGAGACTTCAGAACTGGACGATATTAGGTCCCTTGGGCCTAAAGATTCAAGCTTTATCAAGTTTTAGCCAACTTTCATGCATTTAAAACCTTGTTGAGCTTTGGTTTGGCAACTTAGCCCTAGATGTCATGCATGAACATAAAGCTTGCAACTTTACGTGTTATTTTAGCCTTGGGAGGCTAGATCTAGAGTATAAGGCCTTAGTTCTGCTGAAAAACGTCTGAATGAGAAAATGGAATGAAGGGACTCGACGAGTTGGTGAGCCAACTTGACGAGTTGGTTATGGTTTTTCCCCGATAGTCTGGACACGTTACGAACTCGGCGAGTTAAGATGGATTTTTCATGATCTCTTAGAAGAAACGAAGGAACTCGACGAGTCACATAGATACACTCGACGAATTGGGTCAACATGGACTGTTGACTCGAGTGCTGACTTCCGTTGACTTTTAGGGTTTGGTCAGGTTGTGGATTATGGAGACCATGGAGGGGTAAAATGGTCTTTCACCCTTTCCGAGAGTTAGAAAAGGGGTTAGCTTAGCATCTTTGGAGTTGTTGTTATAAATTGTTAATTAGAGATGATTATGACATGTCGGCGGAGATTAGGCCGATCGTTGAGTACGAGACCTACTTGCTTACTTACTAGGCGAGTCTTCTCATTATACTTACCTGAGTGGTAATCATTGTGTGACCGGAGGGTCTTATGTGCTTATACTGAGTTATGTGATATATTATGCATTCTGTCTTTGTGATTTATGATGTATATCATTCTATGCCTTATTGAGTTACTTTGTGTTCGTGGGACCGGAGGGTGTTCACTAAGATACAGGACCGGAGGGTCCAAACCGAGCTATGAGACCGGTGGGTCTTCACTGAGACACATGACCAGAGGGTCCTTATCGATATATAGCCATGAGAGGCTAATTATTTGTGTGTGGTATTTTGGGGAACTCACTAAGCTTCGTGCTTACAGTGTTGTGTGAAATGTGTTTCAGGTACCTCTCAGGATTGCGGGAAAGCGTCGGCTTGATTGTACACACCAGCTTGAGATTATGTTGTTTTGAGGATTCTGGGATATTATCAAACAATTTGTTGTCTTGTGTTTTGAACAACTTATACATTGGGTTTTGGGAAATGTGAGATTGTGTTATATGTGGTTTTAAAAATGAAAAAAAAATTGTTTGAAAATTTAGAGCGTTACAAAACTTTAAAAATTTATACCTGGGAATCGGGGTGCTACAATTTTAATGACATATGATTACTAAAATGTTAACTATATAATTTTATTCCGCGCAATGCACGGATATTCGCTTAGTTCTATTATAAACATGATTTAGTGATGATCACTTTGTATAAAATTAACATTTCAAAATATAGTTCGGTTAGATTCGACTTATATAGGCTTCAGCCTTAGGGTGGCTTACCGTTAAAAAAATAAACTTGTAAAATATAATTTTCATCATTAATATTTCATACGTTATGTTTTATTCTAGCTAAATAATGTACGGTATGTTACATGTTTAAAACTTTTCAAAATAATATTTCGTACATTATATTTTATTCTAGTTGGTAGCTATAGCTTGTTAATCTTTAGAGTTAGATCAATTGATTGAATGTGGATTTTTTTTTTCATTTCCATCATTTGTTTTTTCTTAAATCAGTAAAATAAAGATGTAATATATATATATATATATATATATATATATATATATATATATATATATATATATATATATATATATTTGTCTTGTGTTTTTACTTTTATGTTTTCATGATTTTTTAATAAGCAAAATGAAAGATATAAAAGTTCAATTTTTTTTTGCTTTTTTGTAAATGAATGAATAAAAAACAAAAATATTGCCACTAAAGTAGTTATATTCTAGATTAGCCTATTTTATATAAAATAGAAAAAAAAATTAAAAAATTAACTTTTATATTTTTCATTTTGGTTATTAAAAAAATCATTATAAAAATATAAAAGTAAAAAAACTGACAGAAAAGAAAACACAAATATAAATATTACATCTTTATTTCACTAGTTTAGGAAACAACACATGATGAAAATGAAAAAAAAAAATTCCACATTCGATCAGTTGATCTAACTCTAAAGATTAACAAGCTATAGCTACTAGCTAACTAGAATAAAATATAATGTACGAAATATTATTTTGAAACGTTTTAAACATGTAACATATCATACATTATTTAACTAGAATAAAATATAATGTACGAAATATTAATGATGAAAATTATATTTTACAAGTTTATTTTTTTAACGGTAAGCCACCCTAAGGCTGAAGCCTATGTAAGGCGAATTTAACCCGACTATATTTTGAAATGTTAATTCGATACAAAGTGATCACCACTAAATCATCTTTATAGTAGAATATTTCACACATATATATGAGCTACAAGGCAAAGATCATTCCGCTTATGCATGGTTATTCCTTCCATCGCCTCAAAGTCTAAGTCTTCCTTCCTCATGCCATCGGGCAATGCCCAATTAAACAAGTAAACAAGATTCGCAAGCAATAACTCCACTGTGACAACACCCATCGAGATTCCAGGACAAATTCTTCGACCAGCTCCAAATGGAATGAACTCAAAATTATTCCCTCTAAAATCAATATCACTACCCAAAAACCTTTCTGGTAAGAACTCCTCTAGGTTCTCCCAAGTGTCTGGGTCCCTTCCAATGGCAAATGCATTCACGTAAACTACGGTTTTATTCTTGATTTTGTAGCCATGTAAAATGACATCTTTCTGACTTTCTCGAGGTACTAAAAGAGGAGCCGGAGGATATAACCTCAAGGTCTCTTTTACAAACGCCTTCAAATATGTGAGCTTTGAAAGATCATCCTCATCAACTCTATCTTTCTTTCCAACTACATTTCTCACTTCTTCTTGTGTTTTCTTCATTACATTGGGGTTGTTCACTAATGACGTCATTGCCCAAATCACTGTAGCGGCACTAGTATCTGTCCCAGCTGCCAGGATATCCTAACACGAGAACAACAACAATATCAGGCGTTAGAACAAAGAAAGCAGCGAGTGAAAGGTTAAGCCACTATAAAGAAAGATCCTAAACAATACCTTAGTTAAACGCAAAGGCATAACAAGTTTAAATATATATGAAAAATTGAATCATATTGATGAAGTAGACTACGTTTCATTATTGTCATGTGAGTGGTGGTTGTTGGAATTATGGTTATCCTTCTACTATTAAGTAGATCCACTCTACCCCTCCTGCTATAACATGCAATAATTTACATATCCTCTATAAATTATATTAGAAAACATATTACAGAATCCATACCACTCACTTGCTCTTGGGGCCGGTTGTCGTATACTTTTAGATAATAGTTTATTAGTTTTAAGTTACCACAAAAATGATATATATACGATAAATTAATTACTTCATTGAATTTAGTTCATCAATATACACTACAAGAATAACTATCTATGGGACGACACCTATCCCGACGACAGATGTCATCCCTACAAGCAAGACTATACCGATGACATGTCTTCGGCAGAGCTTTTGCCAACTATGACCAATTTAGTTTTACCGGAAACGTTATGCAGACGACATGTCGTCGGCACAGCTTCGGCGGGAAACGAAAACTTTTACGCGGTCTTCCGAAATTCTATGGCAACGACATGTTGTCGGTATATGTCACGATAAATGTAATTTACATTTATTTTTATTCCATGGTGCAGAAAGAAGAAACGATACCGTTTTGGGAGATCTATCCCGACGACATGTCGTCGCCTTGCCACACGCTGGCAATCCGCGTGAAAAGGCTATCCCGACGACTTGTTGTCGGTATAACCCTCTATTTTTAATTTTTTTATTTCAGCAGTTAAACAAAACGATGTAGTCTTTGGTACCTTATACCGACGATATGTCGTAGGCATATGGTTTAGCCCCATCAAGACCAGAGACGTCGACGATTGCATTCTTTTTGCATAGTTTCTCTCTTTCTCTCTTTCTGTCGACGACCAAACCTCTTCCGGTCACTCCCATTCACTGGAAACTAGCAGGTATGCTTCTTTATCATTCTATTCTTCCTAATTTTGTGATTGGTCAAGATTTTTACTTTGGTTTTGAGGTTTTTTGTTGGGTTGCAACTTTCACCTCCGATTTTGGGGTAATTTTTTCCGGCTGCAACCTTCATAGCCTTCACCATCGTCGCCCGTGTTTTTGAGATCTCTCCATCTTCAATTTTGGGTTTTGCAGATTTCACAGGTGGCTCACGTGATTTCATCCTTATTTTTCTTATGTATATGGACATTCTCTTTAGCATTTTTACCAAAAATATGATGATGTGGTACCTCACAAAAGATTGCAACTTTTTTCCTTTTTACAACGGTTTGCTCCTCCACAGGAAGCAGGTGACTTCTATTCAGAAAGATTGGGTGAGTTTTATTCCAAAAGAGGATCAGTTGGAATCGTTCCCTCTTTACCAGGTTTTGCTTTAGCTTATCATTGAAGTTTATTCCATTTTTTGTTTAATTTTCAGGATTTCATTGTGGATGGTGTTGTATGGGGATATATTTATGCTTTTTATTTCACTCCGTATTCGTGAATAGGTAGATCAACAGAAGGGTGACTCTAATGGCAACTCTACTTATATAATCAAGGTATATATACCTAACTTCCCTTTTCTTTAAGTTGTTCTTGTTGATTTGTAGCATCATATTTTGTGTTTTGAAGGCGTAACTGTTAGCATTTAAGAATCTTATTGGTGCTAACCTGAATGACATGGTAGATCCTTAGGCAATCATTAGTTGTGGTACAGAAAAGCAATGTAGGTAAATCATAGAAACATTTGGTTGATTTTCATTAATTAAGTTGTAACTTGTAATTACACATTTTAAATTTAATGCCATATTGGTTGCTTCTGTTAGATAGCTTAGACAAATTTTAGTTATGTTAATCTGCAACTCAATATACACAGATAGTTTTTGTACTTATTTTTTTGAATTTTAACTATTACTCATTTTTTGACGGATCAATTTGTCAATATATGATTGGGATATAATTTGGAGAAGTTCTGTTCTTGGTTTTGTAACCATTCCTTCTGAAACCAAAGGGCATACCGGTGCAATATGGCATCCCTTGAGTAGTTCACTAGGGCATGTATGTAATTATGTTTTATTTCCTCTTCTATTGGTCAGTTCATCTTTTCATTGGTCAACTTTCCAAAGTAATTAACCAAAAATATTTATAAAAAAAAAAAAAAAAAAAACATTGCTTCTTCTCAGGTTTGTCTCTATTTTAGAACAACTAAACACTCCACGAATAACTTCAGATACCAGTGCTATGTTGCTTCACTTTTTTTTAACACTAAAGAGCTGCTTTTGACTTAATAGTTTATAGTTTAGACACTTAATCATGAAAGAATGACTTATTACAATCTTACATGTTTGGTATATTTTCTAATATTTGTTAAACAGATGGCTACACATGTTGCGAGGGGGCATGGAGGAGACGGTGTGGACCGACCTCCACACGAGGGTGTAGACAAGATACCGGCGGGTTGTCAATATTGTAAGTTACATGAAATTATTAAATATATTGGATATATTTTTAAAGTTTTAAATTTCTAAATTTTCAATTCTATGTGTCAATGTAGCACACCCGATGCGTCGGTATGGAAAGGGAAGATGCTTAAATATGCGAAAAAAGTTCAAGGGCGGCGGTAATAAACCTTTACCCGTGGAAGTTGATAGCGATGGGGGGACCAATAAATTCATAAATGCAAATGGCAAAATGTTGCCAAAAATATCTTAAATTATGTGGCAGATCATGTATCACTCCATTATAGGACTTGAGGTGTGTTCCTTTCCGTTACTATGAAGCTATGTATCCTGAGATTGAAGTAAGTACACAATACTTTTTATATGTGAAAATTTCTATACCTTTTAAATATTTTGTTACTAATTAAATTTGTTTTTTTATTGCGGTCTTTTTTTGATCTTGATATGTATCGGGGTACATATATGTGGGAAGCCGTTCGAGCGGCTGTACAGGTCCACTGACAAAGAGCTTATAAAGAACATAAGCATGAAGTGAAAAAATATTTTGATAGGGTTGGCGGATATAATGATGTGGAAGGTGCAAGATAATGTCCACCGGATGATATGGACGACGAACCTTGGGATGTCATGATTGATCTTCTTTTTTTTGGACGAAGGTTATAGGAATTAGTGCGATAAAGGTAAAAAAAAGTAGGGCCAAACTTCCATATACGAGTTCTCATGGAAGTAAATCATATGCTGACAGACGTTGCGAGGAGGTAATTCAATTTATTTGTGTTATATAAAACTTTGATTAACACTTATATAAATATATTAATTGTTTTTGGCTTATTATAGAGAGCAAAAAAAACAAGACTCGCAACATGTTGGAGACAAATGTTATTTAAAGATAGTCGGGGTTTGTGTTCACCGCAAGCGGATGTAACTTGGGTAAGTAATAAACAAAGTTAATACGTTATTTGATAAGTATTATTATTATTATTATTATTATTATTATTATTATTATTATTATTATAGTTATTTTAAGGTATATTATTATTATTTTAGTGTATAAATTTTGTTATTTGTTTTAATTAATGTTTTTTTATTGTTTTCTTTATTTTTAGGAAAATATTCAACGAGAGAAGATGTTGATGCAAGAAGGACTCAAGGAGAACGGAAAGTTAAATGAAGAACATTGTCTCACTCGTGCCTTTGGTGAGAGACGCAGACATATTTGTTGTGTTGGAAGGAAACTAACCATCAACAATAATTTATTTCCAAATGAACATTCCAAACGTTCCAAAGCTTCCACATCCCAATCTTCAGATAATTCCCAAGTTGCTGCATTAACCTAACAAATGCAATACATGCAACAACAAATGCTACACATGCAACAAATGTATAATAACACACTCGCGTCCGTCATTCCTAACTTCCAACCACAACGAATGCCACAATTTCAATGCAATCTCAATATACCAACCGACGAGCTCGATGAGGAGGAGAACGAGGACGACAATGAGAACGAGAAAAATGAAGATTTCGATTGATCTTTTATGTTATTTTTGAACAATGTTTGTTGAAGACTTTTTTTTATTATTATTTTGCTATGTAGTATATTATTTTTTGAATTTTAATGGTTTGTTATGGTTATTAAGTTTTTGATATTATTATGCATATATACTTTTTTGATTTGTTTTAAAAAACAGGCTTGGTATATATAACAAATCTATGAAAATATTTAAAAAAAGGCTATATAGACGGCATGTCGTCGGTATAACTTTATAACTGTAATAACTGTTTCACCTTTACCGATGACATGTCGTCTCTGGTACTAAAATGGAAGTTTTCTACCACCCGCTTTTCCAAACGACATGTCATCTGCATTGGGGGCTCTGTACCGATGACATCTATCACGACGACATTTTTCACTTTTACTGACGGGGCTATACCGATGACTTTTTACTAACGACAAGTTGTCGGTATAGGCTTTTCCGACGGCATGTCGTAGGCATAGTTACTGAGAGTGTTGTCGATATAGGCATCATTCCTTGTGGTGATATATATTGAGTAATCAAATGAATTATCTGGTTGTTCTCTTTATATCATGTCATTTGAAGACTTAAATATTTAAATTCTAACTTTATTCCCATAATTATACATATTATTATTACAATATAAATTAATCCTATTAAAAATTGAAATGATTTCGTTAACACTTACAAATGTCTCTATACACAAATAGTCTTTGTTTATTGTAAGCTGGGTGTAAAATCCATGTATTATACGGGTTGATTAAAGAAAATAAAATATTAAAATGTAAATAATAAATAATTTAAAAAAAAAAAATTTAAATTAAGGAATTAAGAAATATATTAATTGCAATTTAGTATAATATTTATTATATTTGATACTTTACATATATAAGTATAAGTGTTATGTGACTTTTTAATTTTAAAAATTGAAAAAAAATAATAAATTGACATGTGGATATTATTTATTTAAAAAATATCATAAAATAACAAGTGTCAAAACTCATTATAGATTGAGATGTGACAAATCGTATTTATTTATTATAGTAGATAGAT